TTTTTGTTCAATGGCCGTTCACTCCTTAGGAGTATTACCGCCACCTACTGTATATCTTGCGCACATGGGTGATAAATCTGTATTGCTATCAATAAAAAATAAAAATAAAAAAATTGTAATGCCCCACCCACCCCAGAGGATTCAAGCTTCAGCTGGCGCTGCCTGTTCAGCTCCTCCAGCTTCCACACTGTGCTCCTCAACCTCCAAGATGGGCAGAAGCATCATGATCCTCATCCTCAGACACTGAATCCTGTGGTCTAGTCCTGTAAGCTCTAAAAATGTTAAAACCACCTTATATATCTGATTATCACTCAAACCCTTTCCCAGAAGGTCCACGATGCTCACTGGCCCGTTCCTTATATTGCTAAAAAGACTGTTACGCTAGTTTTCATATATACTACATTTAAAAAGAACATGCTCTACTGTTTCAAAAACATCTCATTCATCACACATACCATTTTCATGCTTCCCCATTAATGCAAGTGTTGAATTTAGTCCTGTGTGACCCATCCTTAATCTAGAAATCATTACTTCTTCCTTTCTGTGCCTTCTATAAAACTGTTATTTTTTCCCTACTGATTTAACAATATAATACCACCAACCTGTGCTGCTATTTTCCTATCTTTGTTGCCATATTCTTATTATTTTCCTTCTAATTACTGATTTTATCTAATTTCTTCCCAGAGGTACCTTAACGTCCACCTGCTAACTTATCCGCTGTTTCATTCCCTACTGTCCCGATATGTGGCGGTACCCAACAAAAGTATACAATTATCTCTTGTTGTTTCACTAGCTAAAGTAAAAGTAATCACACGGGAGGCTCCTTGCGCACTGTAACCAGAGACTGTCTTACTATAGGGAGTTCCATATTTCCATATTTCCATATTTAAATAATCTGCCACTGATGATTCAAACGCGAGTTATAAGCAGTGTAGAGTAGCGCTTGTTGTTTGTTGTTTCTCCGGTCACAAATGCAGACATGGTTTTATGTTTACGCAGCGCGTTATGCAACGCAACTCGTAAAAAGACAGTACAAGTCATTATAATCAGTAATTATGTGCCCACTGGATGCAACAAATGCCTCGTTTATAATGGGTTTTAATGTTTTTGTCTGGTCGTGCCGGGAGACGGCATCACAGT